GCCTAGGCTGAAGGATCTCAACCAGATATAAAGGACCAAAGCCAGGAAGGCAGAAGCCTGGACAAGGGTTTTGGGGTCTGTGGGCCTAATTTTGATTTAGACATAGAAGTTTGCTATGAAGGGACAATTGAGAGTCATCTGTGAAGTGTGGGGCATGACTATGCAGGTGGCTGGAAGTCACAGCTCTAGTCCGTAAGGTGACTTAAGTCCTCTTATAGAGGAAGTACACTTGTGGACTGAGAAACAGAGAGGTAAAAGACACCAAAGAGTAGGCCTCCCTAGGTTTCATAAGCAGCCTCCCCTTTATATATTTAACAGAAAGTGGTTGGAGGCAAGAGAGAGGAGGCAGAGGAGGTTGGGGAACCCCCCAGCATTTTGCAGCCTTGGGCTGGGCTGTGCTGTCTGCTCCAGAGAGCAGGGCTGGCCCTGCCCCTCTGCTCCCTAGCTGAAGCAGTGAGGGCTGGCTCACTAGCCTCACTGTCTGGCCCACTGCCCTGCCCCCCCCCGGTAAACCCCTGCTGGGGTCTTTGGCCAGAGAGGAGGATTAAACCTCCCTTCCCTTCAATGTGGAGCTGCCCTGCCCTGCTTACTTAGTGCTGGCTGTGACTGTAGACTACAGATCCCAGAGGTACCTGGAAGCAGGAAAAGGAAGTGTTGAGCAGCCCTGCAGAGTCGTGCTGCTATGATTCCAGACTGCAAAATCTAGAGACCTCAGGGGCAGCAGGAAGAGGAAGTGAACACACAGCCCATGCTGGCTACGTGCCAGGGAGCCATGCTGTAGTGCCCCCCCAGCTTCTGGCTTGAGCCACTGCAGGCTGCATTTCCTGAATCAAAAGTGAATGTCTGTTCATTTGCTTATTGGTTCAATCTGTGCAGCTTAAACAAATTTGCAAAGACTGAATCAATTCAGCCTCGGGCTTTCTGACTGTCTGTACTTAGCCTAGGGGTGGCAGACCCTGGGGAGAGCAGATACCTGAGCCTGTCAAAGCTAGATTATACTTTAAACTGCAGTGCCTCGTGTTATAAATATTCCTACAAAATTATATTAATGGGAGTTATGCATGTGGATCAAGGCCTTATGGCTCTTACTTTACTGCTTTTCTCCTCACTTAGAACATATGGAAGACTATACACAAGATAATACATGTGAGATAAATAGCAAATCAGTTTAAAAATGAGCTTGGATTTTGTAGAGGAAATAGTATGCAGAGGATCAGAATACAGTACAGGCCTCTACAATCTCATTAGATATTTGGAACATTATGTTTTATATTTTGAAGTTGGCTCTGAAACCATTATTCCATTTGCATGCCATTTTTTGTAGCTGCAAGATGTTAATGGAAAAGGGCAATGATTAAACAATCCTTAATGAAAAAATGCTACAGTCCTTCATTAATATACTATGAACATCCTGAAAGAGAACTGTTGAATTCATACCACAGTGACTGGTGAAAGTCTACCCAGCAACTGTACTCCCAACATGCAGAGGATGTACATTCACATTTAATAAGACAGGAATAGATTTATTATATTTCTGCTTATAAGCTTGTTATATCCTGCCAGATGCCTGTGTAGTATGGCTAAGAGGTTCTCTAGTAACAGGATGGTTAGACTTCTAAAATGGAAAAATAAAGCAGCAGCCCAATACTGTTATGGAAGAACACAGGAGGGTTTTGGCAGCTAGGAGTTGACACGTGGTATCTGAGAATGTTGCAGAGTACTTAGGTGCCCTGCTCCTTAGAGTGGAAACTGCTGGGGAAAGAGCCCTAGCAGTGAGTGGGGAGCCCCAGCTGCTGGTTACCAGGGCAACCAGAGTGAGCTAGTGGCCCACACCGGCCAGTGGGCAGCTGACCGGAAGGGGCAGGGCCTGGCTCACATATAAACCCCAGGGCTGAGGCCAGGATGACAGTTCCTTGCCAGCAGCCAAGGGGGAAGGAGCTCTCCCAGAGCAACCAAAGGGGAGTGGCCTAGCTGCAGGTACAGCCTCTGATACTGGTGAGGAATGGTGTGGTTTAAATGTTATAGCCGGGCGGCTTCAATTTATGTTATAGCCCAGGGACTTGTGTTTTGTTTGCTGTTTAAGACTGGTGGCTTGGGTGAGGCTATTAGGGGATGGTGGAGGCCTCGTAGGGGACCTAGGGCAGCGTGGGGACCCCAGCGCCAGGGAGGGTGCAGCACTTGTGGGGGGGGGTGCACCGACCCCAGCGCCAGGGAGGGTGCAGCACTTGGGGGGGTGCACCCACCCCAGCGCCAGGGAGGACCGGGGGCTGAATTGTAACAAGGCCCAGACCAAACAACATTGGTTCCATTTGTGAGGCTTGGGGCATGGTAAAGAGGTGGTTGGAGCCACACATAGCCCATAAGGCTAGGGTGCCCTGAAACACCCATTGCAGAACGGGACCCACAAGGGGTCCAGGAGCCCACGGGGTCAGAGTACAGCAAAACCGCGTCCAAGAAGACATGAAGGTAGCCTCCCTAATATATATTTACCTTCAAAGACATGGTAGGTGAGAATCGAGGGTGCCCTTTGGGCCAGCTTGGCATGGGAAGGGGGCCTTGGGGAGATCACGGCCATCCTGCAGGACCCTGCACTGTGACAGAGAATCAGAGCTATTTAAGTCATAAGACACTTGAAGAATTTACTGGAAAAAAGAGGTGGTAAGCTTACACAGGGGGCGTGTCTATTTGAGACACTGAATGTACAGTAGACTAATTCTACTGTATTAGTAAAAGCTGTGCTAATGCACAATAGAATGAGTCTCCTGCACCTTAGCATCACTAACAAGGTGTGCACCAGTGCTACTACGCAGTAGTGCTGGGTATTGCATATTGAGTCGGTCCCTGTTATTACAGGTACTAAACTTAATGCTCAGTAACTACAGTGCACTAATTCACATGTAGATGTGCCCAGAGTATAGGAAATGTATGATGAGATGCATCAGTGATGGGACATGAAATGGTTTAGCAGTTGGAGAAGGGCCTATATTAAAGATTATTGTCAATCAGGATACAGGAGAGCCCGGGTGCTCAGAATTAAGAGATTTGTTTCTGAGCAGGTGATGAGGTATATTTGTGACTGGAAGGTCAATTTGAGGAGTTTTGAGGATTCACAGTTTCCTAAAACTAGGAATGGAAAATCCTGTGGAATTGGATCATTTTTACTTCCTAACCACCAGTGCAGGGTTATTTTTTTTTCCAAGTGCTTAGTCTAATTTGAATGTCATAAACAGTGAGGCATTCTCCACATTTCAGAGAGAGACATCCATACTCTTATAGCATTCACTGTTGGGATGTATTTGTAATTCAGTCTACAGCAGCAATCACGTTTGTCTAGCAAGATTCATTTTTAATAAACTTCTGTTGCTTATTGATCGGAGTTCTTTCACCTTTGTATCTGCCTTTTTTAATATTCTGGAATTGAAGTTTAAATTTACTAAATGGTAATTGCTAGCACTTTGCAGGGGAGGCAACTCACTGGGTTGGGTGGTGAAGGGTATGAACTGCTCATTATTGTCCTCCACTTGAGATGTGGGGGAAATAGCACAGGACTGCCTTGTGCAGTAATGTCACACTAAGTGAATGATGTCTGGCAGCTTTGCCCTAGACCTGCCTGACTGGAGATGCTCTATTATTTGGAAAGCCCCAGAATGCTTTTTCTTACACAACTTAATAAAAAGGCCAGTAGGCAAGCAGTGCACCACTGAGGCTGATTACAGGAACAAGTTTGTTTCCTGAGTTCCTCTAAGATCTATTTCAGTATGATTTCATTTCAGTATGATTGGCCAGGATATTGGGCCAGCTGCACGTAGGCAAAAGTAGGCTATACCTGTTTACTGGAGTGTTGGTCCAGCACATGCAATATCTGTGGCTTAAGTTTTAGAGAGGGAACCATCTCTAAAACCACTTTTGTTTGTATCAGAACAATATGTATTTCATACACTTTCACAGTAAAAATAGAGCAACAAATAAAAAAAAAAAAATAGTAGGATACTTTATACATGGAATTTGCCCCATGCAGGGAAAAAAATCATTCTAAAATAAAGACGATTGAATGAAATGCATACGTGTAATAATTGGAATAAGCATGATTCCTGAGGAGGTTTTTCTCTTATTGTCTTGGGTATGTGGAAAACCAGGATTCATTGTACTGGTTTTAGCCTTTTAGTGTGCATTTTATTCAGTTTCTGTCTAATCTACATTTTTTCATTCCCTGTACTGATTTATAGATGTGTAAGACTAAATAATGAATCATTTAATTGATAATTCCAGTGATAACTGGTTAGAGCTTACTAGTTATTGTTTAGCACAGTCAGGCAGGGAAGCTACGTGGTGCCCCAGCAGGAACTGGAAGGCAGCAGGGCCGCTCTAATTAAAGCTCCCAGAGCATCATGTGTATCAGCATCCGTGTATTGAAAAATGGTAATGGGGTGCTTTAACTAAAGCTCAGCTGACAGGCTTTAGATTTTTTTTTCCTCACTGGTGCTTATCATCCTGATATCTGAACCCCTTCCATGTAAAACAGATTGGCAATAATGATGTCTCTAGAAGTGGGGTTTTCCAGTTATGGAAAGCTCTGCTTGATTTTTGGGGGGGGGGGCTTTTTGATTGTGCTGTTTTGGTAGGTGCTGTGAGGAGCAAGGGATGTAGGTTAAGGCTAACCATCACCCAGGTTGTGGTAGAAAAAATGCACCATTTCCTGAAGTGTCTTTTGCATTTGTCCTCTAAGTTGTTTGGCTCTTGCATGAAAATGCTCCATTTTACAAAGCTAGTTTGCGCTGTCTTATTTGAAAATGTACAGTAGATATAGAAATATAACTGCCTTCCATCTTGCCCCTTAAACATTTGGGGCATGATATTGTGAGTGACTTGAGAGCATTTTACTGTTCCAGGAAACATGTGTTTGGAAGCCAGTATCAGAAAGTACTGACCTGTTTGAATAAGATATTCCATTTTCTTTTCTTTTATTTTCTGTCTGTCTCTTCTATTGCAAAAAAAAAAAGAATTGTCAACAGGTGTGCAGTGACATTTCAGAACCAGAAGTGCGAGCAGGAGATGCTGTGAGAGCGAGGCAAAGCATTTAAGCTGACATTCAGACTGAAAAGCTTTTTCATCGGCCTTTTCATACGGTATGTTTTCTACATTAAATATTCAGTGCTTGGGTTAACTCAAACAATATACTGTACTTCTTTCCATTGCAAAAAATCTTTGCTAAATGCCTTGCTTCAATCATTTCTTTTATGCTATCGCTGATAATTAAAATGACACACAACTACTCGCAGGCTCCAAATTTAGGTTCAGACTCTGTTGCCCTTACTTTACAAGAAGAATCACTGATGAATCGATAAAATCACTTACAAAGTTAAGAAAGTTGGAGTATCTGTATTGAGTCTTTAGAATTTAAGTCTAATCCTGCATCTCCCCTATATACAACGGACACTTTCTTTCAAGAAGAAACTTCATTTTCCCCAAGTGTTTACCAGATTTTTATGGCCTGATTCTGAGCTTGCCAAGAAGCCAGAGTAAGAGGCTTTTTGCCCATAAGAACTATGGAAAAAACTGGGTTAAATGGAATCTTCATCCCAGCCTGCACGTGCCATGGGTGGCATCTACCTCACTGGCAGGCTGTGCAGTTATGTTTGAACGTGGTGAGCAGTGGTAAATATGACACAGTTCTTCACACAGGTACAAGTGTGGCCAAGTAGATCTGCGCTAGCTGTGCATCAGGTACACCATGTTACTAACCCCATGTTGTGGGATGCAGAATACTTGCAGCAGAGATATGAATAGAAGTTAATTTTTCCAGCATGTTTGAAGAACGGAAGTAGCAGATACAGCCTTACCCTTGCTATTTTTAAATATTCATTGCCTAACCAGGACCACCAAGCCAACTCATTTTTTTGGCTCACTATAAATACAATTTGACAACTTTCACAATATTTGCAGGATTTTCTCAAAGTCTAAATCCTGGAGTCACATGGTTATTTCAGAATTTCACCCTGCTCTTATATTGTAATGAAAGTTTCTAGCCCTCCTGGTTTTAAGTAAAAGCTTAAAAAAATGGGAACCTGGCAGGCCTAAGAAACAGAAAGGAAAATAAAAAATGCTGAGATTATTTTTCTACTGAGTTTTGGTTGCTGTCAGGATTATTGGGAACCCCAATATTTTTTCTGAATACTTGAAGTTGAAAATATTGCATATATACACTTGTTTAATTAATGTAATGCTGTAGCCATAATGGTCCAGAAATTATGCGAGGGGCAAGAATTTTGTTGAGTGTTAGCTGGTTCAAGAAAAGATATGTTGATGGGATGAAGTAGGTAAGTTTTCAAATGCAAAACATTCTTCATCAGGTCTTGGATCACAGGAAGCCAAGTGCTTAGTTTCCTATGATCAGAGACCTGACAAAGGAATGCCTTGCATTTGAAAGCTTGCCAACTTTATCCCAGTTACATAGTTGGTCCAATAACCAAGAACACCTGAAGAAATTCTTGCATCTTGTTTAGTTAAGGACATTTAAATAATTTCTTGCAATGCTGAAAGTTACTACAGCATCCCTAAAATCTAGGAAGTAGGACTTCAAATCTAGAAAACGGAACTAACTTGAGTGAAGTATTTTGCATTACTTCAGCTGCATTGAAGTGACAAGTAATTTTTTTTTTATTTTTTTTTTTTTAATCTTACAGGAGTAGACTTCAGTTGTGCAAACTTTAAGTAGATAATGTATTGGACCAAGTACAAGTTTTATAATTAACTGTGTGTATAAGAGTTTCCAGGATTGGGCAGCTGTTAATACTTTTTTGCAGTTTATTTTTAATAGTTTATTTGAAATAATTGCAAAGAAAGATGCCAAAGATCTGCAAAGGCTTAAGTGCATGTGGAAAGTTACCATTTGAGAGTAGTTGCATTAACTTTAGTAGGATTATTCCAATGCATAATTATCTAAGTACTCTTTGTGGGACAAGGACCATAGCACTTTTTCCATAGGGGAATGACGGAATTCTCATAGACAACAATATTCATTAGGTAAATAAATCAAGTCTTGGCACAAAGTCTTTTCTAACCTACTTTGCTATTAATAACAAAAGCAAAGGATTTTTAAAAAAAGTTTTCCCTTTAAATATGTCACTTATTTCGCTTATGTAACAAGTAAAGCTGAACTAAATTACTTATCTGGGCAGAACTTTTATATAAGTTCCTTCATCAATTATTTCTCCTTGGAGAAAGTGAATGTAACAGACTTCAAAATCCATTTTACTGTTCTTATTGCAGAAGCTGAAATATACATATTAATGAAAAGGTCTTAAGTGGAAAACAATTATTTCATTTGTAAAGAAAACAGTGCCCTAATAGTTCATGACTTTAAATTTATTCTTTTTTCAAGGCATAGTTTTCTATGGCTTGCCAAATCTTCCTGAAATAGCTTGCAATTGCAAGCTAACAGAATCAGCAACACATCCATCAGTGGAAGACTATAGACATAATAATTCCTTTGCTATATGGTCCAGGTGACAAGTCAGATCTGACTATGTGCTATATGAAGCTTTCATGTCATAGTTTAAAGATGAGTAAATTGTGGATAAGTACTTTAGCAAAATTTAATCAGCTAATTTAATTTTACATAAAAGCATTCTTTGAAGCTGTGTATAAACAGAAAAAGATTTTTCTGAGTAAATAAAAAGATTAACATGATTGATTTGGCTAGCAATATGTTCAAGTTCTAAAATTTGCTCCTACTGGTTTAGTAAAAGCAACAGTTTAATAAGCTGTTTTGGAAAGACTGAATCGATAGTTAACTCAAAATTAAAAATATCATTCCATTTCTTTTTCTTTATTTGATTCTTCATAGATTTCTATTTTTTTTTTTTTTTCTTAAGAACAGAAGGGATCTTTAGCTCATCAAGTGTAAACCCATGCATACATGGTAAAAATGCCTTTTAATTCATATAGTGCAGGGGTGGGCAAAAAACGGCCCGTGGACCACATCCGGCCCATAAGGCCATTCTATCCACCTTTGGGGGCCCAAAAAATTTAGAAAATTAATACTTATCTGCCCTTGGTTCCCATCAAAATGACAGGAGACGGGGGCAGTAGGACCCAGGGGAAGCTCCACCGGGCTTCTGCAACAGCAGAGACTGCCCGGCTCTGGCTCCCAGCCAGAAGCCCCAGTAGGGACTTCGGATCTGGGATGATGTGGCTGCCCCAGTGTAGGAACCTCAGGTAAGTGTGGGGGGG